ACGCAGTAGTTTCTGTCAAGACTTATAATGATTGTTTTCTACTTTCGGCTACTTTAGATCATTAATGAAATGTAAAATAATAGCAAATATAAGTAATATGTTTAGACTCCAAAAGAGATTTGATTCTTAAGAAACTTTTGCAATACAGTTTGTCCGAGTGGAGTTGCCATATGTTTACATCATAAGAAGGGACAAGGCCCCTAGCAGATCTGGTACCTACACCGTCACATGCTGGTCAGAGCTTGAAGCTTTCTTTCTGAAACAGGTTGTGGTATGATGACATTCTCGTAATAGTATTCCCGTAATGTTATGACTTCATTCTCCTAATGTTACAACAATTTTATCGTAATGTTATGACTTTATTCTCAAGATTTAAAAAAATAAAAAAATCTCTAGCCTGGCCCTAATACTCCATAGTATATTACAAGCTTTATGGACACGGCAAAATTCGGAAAAACTCCCTAAAATTTACAAAAAAGTTGTATTATGTCTTGTACGCTTATGTAGGGTGGGAACCATGTAATGGTGCATGACACTTCCATCTGTCAATCAGTCGATCAATTAACAGAATTAGAGTGACGTAATGTCATGTTAAAGACAGCTGTTTGAGATTATCTGAAATTTGTGTTGATTCATTGGGGGGCTGGAAGCAACCATCAGAAGCTATGTCCATTATATTCACAAAAAGATGGCCAACAACAACACTCCGGTAGACTGCACCTACCATGAATACTACAACCAACAACGTAAAGATTTGATGCAGGGAAGAGTGCTTTTATCCTATTTATGAAAAGAATCCCACCCCTTCCATTTGAATGCAGATGAAACAGACTCTCATTGGGTGAGTCAACGTTTTTCAATCTGTTATTGTCTAATTTTGGTAAATCTCTGTAAACTGTACACACCCAGTAACTCAGGAATTTCTCAAATAGTGAGATTAGCATATTCGAAGTGTGGATGAAGTACTGTCCTTGTCAAGGGTGTCATTCATACAGAAACCACAGCTGCAACTGCAGTTTTAAGACTAAATGCAGTTCAATCTGAGTTTTTTTTTTCACTTATATAACTCATTCTTTTCCCTCAATAGATTTTAAACCAGCCAAGACAACTATGCAGCTTGATCTGCCTCATAATTTGCTCCTTGGGAAAATGAGACTTAACTAAAGTTGGTATACTGACAAGACAAATGCCATTTTGTCTTTAAAGGATATAAATCAAAATTAAAGAATGCATAAAAAGAAAGAAACTTGTTTGTTCCTTTTTTTTTTTTTTCTGGGGTGTTGGTATGTTCCTGTGACAGTAAACAATTCCCTGGTCTGTTGTACTACCATGAGCTTGTGTCCTGATTAAAACCAGCTGTGGCTTAGTCATATTCAGCAATGGAGACAGATGGTGTGGCTTGATAAACAAACAAGGGCAGTCTGTCGATTAGTTTGAACTTTGCTCGAGGTGTATGGATCTTGTAAAGCCACTGGCTTAAAAAAAAAATCATGTTAAATGTTGTAAAGCAACCGTCAGCGCCCATGTATTCTTAATGTAGGCTAGGGTGCTATGCCTTGAAATTTAAGGATGAAGATTGAAAGAAGAATGTAACTTCCTCTTGTTTCCGACACCATGTCTGAACAGTTGAGAACAATTTCAGCACTAAAAGAGACTTTTCTATTATAAGAGAGGAAGGTTATAGTAAAACCCTGTTGAAGGGCCCTTTAACATGGTAAAAGGGGCATAAACTACTAAAAATTCATATATTTTAATCTGTTTCTTTTATAAAATTAAAAGCATCTTTCCATCAGCTAGCTGTCCTAATTAAGTGAGGACTAGAGTGTTTGTCTTAAATGGATTTTTTTGTTGTTGTTGTTGTAGGCACCTCTTAAAATGCTTTAGCCGACTCTGCTGTGTTCCTTTGTCTTTGGGTGTTTAGCTGGAAAAGCAGAGTTCCAACATGACTTGAGTTTTTCTTAAAATACGGATTACTCACACAACTTTTCTTTATTTCGATATAGAAAAGCCTCAGCAAGTCAATGTAAAACTGAAAATGTATTTCTGAAATAAAATTTTTTAAATAAAATAAGTTTGGCTTCAAAGTGCACAGAAATGCTATAGATTAACCCTTTCTGGCTCCTTTTTTTCTTCCTTTTAAAGGGGACTGAATGCTCATCAAAAAACACAATAGGCCTACACCCCAAGAGGTTTTGCTCTGCTTCTCTTTTATTTACCAAACCTTTTAATAACTGCTGTTTACATGCTTGACAAACAGGACATTGAACATGCACATTGCTGCATTTAAATATGACCTTCAAACCAAGCTCAAATGAAAATACAGTAGAACATATACATAATCAGATTTCAGGAAATATACTTTGGCTCTGAAGACAACGGTTTGGGTTTATGTGCCGAAACAAATAACCATGGATAGTTGTATGTTGTGCAAGACACCAGCTAATTTGTTACAGCAATAAATGGCTACTTCCTGGAGGACCTTTTAATGATTCCTGACTGGCCTTTACCATCTCTTGTTGAAAATCTAGCAGCTTGACTCTTTAGAACTTAGCATTGACTCCTTACTTTTCTGGGAACTCTTCTAGAACCTGTGCAGATGAATTCACAAAGAAGAATTAGATGCAAGAGCATTATGGACAACCCTAAGCATCCTTTTCAGACGCCTATTAAATAAAAACAGAGTATCTTCTGCCAAAGGCTTCTCTAGATCCGCTCTCAGACAGATGGATGCAGTAGATCCTTTCTCCCTAAAGCTATTAACAGCTATGACAACTCTATGGAAAAAAAGTAACAAACATTTTATTTCCCCACTGAATCAATAAAGTATTTTTCTTTTAATCAAATGTGGATAAAAACGGAGGGGTTTAGAACACAAAAAAAGAACCAAAACCAGAATATGAAAACTCCTTTTACTCTAAAGCAGAGTAAAAAAAAAACAGATCTGTAAAACCTTGACTGAATCATTCGAATTTGACTATGTTGTGATTTATAAAACGTCTTAATGTGCAAAAACATATAGTTAAAATCTGTCTGTCCAGGTATCAGAGCACACATCCTTTGCATTCAAAGAGTATATTGCCTACACTGGATGTAGCAGCGGTTGTAACAGGTGACTGACCAAGCTGCTCTTGCCGGTCACTGACCCATTCTCCTCAAGCCTTTTACATCAATATGTTGATCAAGCAACTGCAACTTACTGAACCCACTCTCACATAGACTCCTGAAACAGCTGTGTGTAATTAGATAAGCAGTTTTTGAAATAGTCATTAAACATATCACATTGAAAGTGATTTTACTTGTCCACTCCCCCAATTCCATTCAGATACTACCATAAACTTTAGCAAACCTTCTTCCCTAAGTCTATTGTTTAACCATAATGTGATTGGCTGATCAGCCTACCAATTATAGGGCAGTTAAGTTAATTTTAAATACCATCATTCATTTGTCCCATTGAATAAATCCTATTCCAATACCAATGTGTTGTTTTTGCAGCTCTGTGTCAATAAAAGCTGCTATTGCTCACTGAGCATTTCATGCCATAAAATGATTAAGGCTGCATGTGATTCACCACCTTGTGACTAAAAACTATTTGAATGAAGAAAAAGAGCAGGATGAATCATCGAAAAAAATGAAGCTCAAGACTTTGAACATTTCCCATGTCTCTAAGTGCATCATAAAGTGTTTTTGTTCTTTCGACCGCCATAGAATAATGGTAAGTTTTTAAATGTCAATTAAGCAATAAATTCAATTTTGTTAAACAATGGGATGCAGATACCTCTGCAGATTATTCTCAATCTTCAAGTTCAGTGTAAAACCACCAGCACTGTTTACTTTTAAAAAGTCGTTAGTAATGTGTATGCAAACCCATAAAACTACTGATCTGTGCTGACAAAAACGGCAATTCTGTTGGAGATAAATGGGAGTGTCTGTTGGCTGCCCTGTCAGAAAGTCCAAAGTCTAACAAACCGAGAGGGTGTGGTTAGCTGCAGGGAATGTGAGAGCAGGATGTGAGCGCGCGTGATTGTAGTTCTGTCCTCATGCGCCCCTGCATGTGGAAGCTGAGCTGAAGCTTGCTGTTTCTCCTCAGACTTTTTCTTCATTTTCTTCTTTTTATTTGTAATAAAAAAAACACTTACGGCACTCACTGTCATCACTCAAGGCTAGATCAACAAACGATTTAAGTTCTAGTTCACCAATTAACCACTTGATTAACCCTAAAATATCTCTGCAATCTGGGCCGCTACTTCCCCTGAAGTATCTAAAAATCCTCCCTTAACTTGTCCTGTTGCTACAAAAAGATTATTGTAACACTCTACTCACACCCACACACACAAAGAAAAAAAGAGCAAAACCCACAACAAACAACACAATCACGGAAAAGCACCATAGGAGGGGTTTATAGTTTGAAGGTGGGTGTGTCCCACAGTGTTTAAAACAGACTATCTGTGCTCTGCTCTCGCATCAGTTGTTTTTTCCTCCTCAAGCTGAACAACACCTCCATATAAACCGGTAAGAAAATCAACTCTTTTAAGTCTGAATTCAAATTGCATTTATAGTAGATTACAGGTTAGGCTTCATGTGAATTAATGTATATATTTTTGTTGAAAGCACATTAAACTTTGACTTTTAAGCTTAAGTTTTAGATGCTGATGAAATGGAGGGAAGCATGTAACCAAACAAACTTAACAAAAAGTGTACCGACTATCATCTTTAAGATCCTGATTTTGTTTTGCATGAAAGTGTATTTAAAGAGGCTTACGAATGGTAGCCATTTCCTGGTTTGTTGTACTGCCATTAGCTGATTAAAACCAGCAGTTGCAAGAGTGGTTTAATCAACCCATGCAAATAGGAATCATTGCACACTAGCAAAGTGGCTTAGGGTTTTTTTTTTTTTTTTTGCAAAGGGCGTGGCTGGGCACAAAGGAAAGAGCCAACGCCCATGTAGCCTAAACCTGCAAAATTTCTAATACTACAACAGCAAAAATTAAATGCCTTAATTGTGACTCAATCTTATCCCAGCCACCATGTCCAACATTCTGGGTGCAATTGGAATGCTGAAGCAAACTTTTCAAAAGTATGCTGGAGCAGATGGAGACAAGGGTTCTCTGTCGAAGAAGGAACTTGCCACCTTGCTGAAAGCTGAGGTTCCTGGATTAGTAAGTAAACTGATCTTATCACTTTAAAGGAATGTGCCATGATTTCCTAAAGATTTGTTTTTTTTAAAAGGTGAATATTTGTCTTTACAGGCTGATAAAAAGGAAGAGGTGGATGAGTTTATGAAGGCGCTGGATGAAGATGGTGACGGTTCTGTTGATTTTAAAGAATACGTCGTTTTTGTCGCCACCCTGGCTATGATTTTGGGCGCTACAAAATAATGAACATAAACTGTCACTAGTGTTGTGGAGGTTTGAACAGGTTAAAGTGAATATGATGTGAAATGTCAATGTTGATTTTTAAACAAGGAAAATTAAACTTTTTTCACACTTAATGTCTTGACTGTTTTTTTTTTAATCTGAGTGGAAACATCAACCCAGCATTTTACCGTTTTCCTTATCTGCCTAAAGCAGGGATACTCTTCAAATAACACAGCCTATCCATTCATAAAACAGGTTTTGTGTGGGTTGTCTTATCATGAAGTAAACCCTTTTATCAGTTAAAAATATATGGCTGCATTTGGATAAGCTCTATTTTCCATTAAAAACTTGTTCTGATTTATTTTTTTCGAACATTTGGCATATGAGAACGTTTACAATTGTGGGTGATGAAATAAAGAATTTATATTAACTTTGTAATTGTCTAGACAAATGGCGAGCTTCAATGAGGATGTGGCATTATTCAGGGTACTGGCTGCACGGTATACTTAGGAAACTGTGGTAGCTCTGTGGGTGGCTTGTTTGGGAAGTTGGTGTGACGCAATTTAAGGGCTCCTCTTCGAGTTTATACTTTTCTCTTTCAAAACACTTAAGACTTTAGATCTTCACTGGATTATAAATACAATTTTATATTCTAGTCTTTGTAAAAAATTATGTTTAAAAGCAAAATATCTGGTCTTAATCGTATACATCGTATACTAAGTCCAGATGGCTTTGATCTGTAGACTAAGGGGAACATTTTGTTGTGCAGCTATTGGCCTGTAAGGTGATCTAATTTTAAGCAGCATAAAGAAAGCTGTTCTTTCTAAATGGGCATTTGTTTGGAGGGGTGGGGCTAAAGGATTTGCCCAGGATGGCATTCATTCTAGAACCAGCACTCAAATAGTCATAGAGAAAACTCTACTGTTTAAATCTGTTTTTAATACTGGTCAATATTTTTTTTTCATAAGTTTGCCTCTGGGTTAAAGCTAAATGGTTTGGAAAAATACCGCTGAAGATTCTCTGCTCCAGCAGCTTTTCCAATGCTGCCACCTGATGGATGTTTTTTAGTACAGCAAAAATGGCTATATAAAAATGATATTGTGCTTATGATTTTTTTCTTTGAGACGAGGTAAACAAGGATGTAAGTTCAAATATTCATCTGCTTTGGATTGTGTTCTGTGATAATGTTTGGAAGTGTCTAAAACTTCCTGAAATTTGCATCCTAGCATGTCCTTTGTTTTCTGCAAGCAGCTCAGTGTCATGATCTGGCCTGTTTGAATTTCAATTTCAATTCAGTTTATTTATATAGCGCCATTAATTGGTTATTTCTTTCACCTGTTGTTTTCCCTCTCTGCTTCAATTATCTATTCCTCACATCTGTTTCCTATGGTTTATATTTTGTTCAGCCTGAGTATTCGGGGCCAGATCATTATTTGTTTTTCTGTTCCAAGAACCTTGTTCTTGTCCTGGATCCTGGCAGCCAGTGGAAAGAGGGTTTTGTGTCTCTCTCGTCTCCTGCTCGTCCACTGTTCCTCCCCTGCTAAGCCCTCTGGGTTTTCCCCTGTACGCAGGGAGGTTCAGTTTTTATCCAAGTAAGCCTGGCTCAAAGGTGGAGACCAGTTTAAAGGTCCTGCATCAAGTTCTGGTTCCACGTCCTGTCTCTGCTACCCTCTTCCACTGAGTCTGCTCATCTGCACCTGATCCTGTGCATGACCACCTGGTCACACTTCCGGACTCTGAACCTGCCTGGGAGCTCTACGAGGCCTGGAAGCCTGGATCCGGCCTGTTCTGAATCTCTGATCAGGATCGGCCTCCTGCAAGACCTCTGGCACTGTAGCACTGGGGACATTCTTGGACTGGACTGTTAGACAGGTAAGTGACCAACTCAGATGATCGTGGTCACTTACCTGTGTTTCTCCCACTAACAGAATGTCTGAGATTGGTCGGTACCCCGCCCCCCACCTGCAGTCGCCGCATGCCACAGATCCTAGCAGCTTCTCTTTTAGTTTTGTTCATTTAATAAACGTTTAGATGAGGGAATCTCATCCAATATAACTTTAAGTTTTACAGAGCCAAATATCGGAAAACTTATATTTTTCCATTGTGAGGCGCAAAAATGAATCTAGTTTCAACATACATTATAAACATGGTTCCAATACAGCAGATAATTATGAGATAGATTTAATTGACTTTAAACAAAAAAAGTCAGCTTCAATTGAAAAGTCAAAATATATTGAAGGGATGACAAAAACAATTCACTACCAAGTCAAGTTCTGTTTGTTACCTTTAACTACCTTTCAAAAGCCAAAAGTTCCTTCACTTTACTACACCCTGTATAAACCCTGTCACTTTTATAAAAAAAAAAAAATAGAATAGAATAAAATGTTTCCACTGCTGGGTTTTAATCTATTCCAATTATTGACACTATTCCTCTGGCCTTTGAAAACACTTGCATAAAAAACACAAGTCTTTATTAATTAGTGTATTGTAGTTTTTTTACTTTCCCCACTCAGTACTTTAGTGCAGAGGTCTTCAACAGGGGGTCCGCGACCCCCAGGGGGTCCACGGAGGTACTGCATGGGGGTCGCGAAGCTTTGGTTGATTAGTTTTTTTTTATATTCCCCCCTGCAATTTTTTCCACTAATTGAAATGTCTTTAAATCCACATTAACATGAATTCAACAGACTGCAGTAAACAGATAAATGGAGGCAGAAGATGTCTTTCAGTCATCAATGCTCACATTTAGCGACACACAGGAGCTCTTTCAAGCTGGGCACCGTTTCATTCACAACACCTGTCCCATCAACAAGGAATCAGAAATACTTTAATAATCCCAGGGAGGGATAACTTTAGTTACATTACTCCATCTGTAATAGAGGTATTGTTTTGTATCCTGACTCCTTGGAACATAACACTTCACCTTTAAATAGAGTCAAAAACACCACTGTTGATAACAAATCGAATGAATCTTAAATAGATTAGATTTGGTATGATTATCTGACCTTTTTGGGGGAAAAATCAAGTCGAAATAATCCCACATAGGTGATATCTCATCTACCTTCTCCACCATCTCGAAATCCTATCCAAACACTCAACTGACCCCTCTGGTGGAGACTCTGAAAAAATGAATAAGTAGAGTAAAGCAAACAAAACCATTCACATTTCCTTACAGAAGTTTTGTTGTACTATTACTAGTACTGAACTTCAGGAAGCAGGACAGTTGCAAGTTGGTCAAAAAATCTTTTGATTGATGAGGTAGAGATATGGTGACCACGGCTTGGCGGCAAGGGGGGCAATTTTCATTGTCATCAGGCCCAAAACTCCTGGCAGGCTGCCTGATCAGATAAGCCCGACCTTTACTTCATTAGATGAATTAGTCCCACAGTTTAAAAGAAAATTTATGTTCTGATTCGATCCAGACAGGGACCTGTCCCTCCCACCCATTGACTTCACAGGCTCCAAGTGACCCTGCAAGGATATGATAATGACCTGGGCTAGCTGCTGTGCTGAAGAAATTAGTTCCTAATGTTATCACTGGATGGCTGTTTTGTGAAATAAAGGAATATGCATCTACAGCAGACTAAGTCAATTTTTTTGTGGTCTATTCTTAAAAAACAAAATAATAACAAACATTTCCTAGTGTTTCACCTTTCATGAAGTGCCATTTTTATAAATATTTAAAGAGGAGTGAGTCTGCGGCGAGGGTAGTGAATTTACATAGTATCCTTATGCAAACTGCATGGGGAAGGACAGGGAATTGGCCAGCAGTGAATCCAATGCTCTGAGGGCGTTCGTTGCCCTCACCTAGTGCTATAGAACTGAGGTGTTGTCATACAGGAGTACCGCATGGAGAGAGTGGAGCGGTAAAGCTAAAGTTGAAATGAGATTAACTTTACTGTGCAATAATGACAAGGCAGCCAATCAAGGACTGGTTGTAGGCAAAGCTTTTTTTTTTTTTTTTTAGTTAAATGAAATACAGAGAAACTAATGTTAAGAAAGGTAGAAATGAGAAATACTCTAAAGAGGTTTTTAGGTGGCTTTAAAAAAGCAGTTTTAATTTAGCCCTAGAAAGACTGTTCATCATCTTCCCTTACCTCCAGCCCAGAATCCGGTCTGTTGCTGCTCACTCACAGCATTGGTGCTTTCTGAGAGAGTAGATTTACAAGGAAGTGCAGCCGAATCCAACTGTCATCCAAGACAGTTCTATATGAAACAAAGTGAAATACCTTTTCAATGCTTCTGGGGCTTTTCCAAAAATTGGCGGTAAAATGGTAAATGGCCTGTACTTATATAGCGCTTTCTTAAGTCAGGAGACTTGACCGAAGCGCTTTACACTACATTCAGTCATTCACACACACACTGATTGTACCACAAAGCCAATTCAAAAGATCTGCACAGAGAACAATTTAGCAGCAATCCGTGAAGTTAAGTTTCACCAACCTTTTTGTAAAATACTGACAGACCTTGACAGGAAATGCCATGGAGTGGCCAGGGGTAACAGCAGACCTTAATTGAAGGGTCTGGGAGACTGGTGATTTACTAAATATTAAACAATCACTTCAGCCACTTGATAAGGTAAACATGTCAACTGTTATATCCACTACCAGCATATGAATGACATGGGATGTCACACAATAACTTTATATCTGCGCATATCAAGTAGCACTAACAAAGTAGTGCTTAATGGGGGGGATATGTGACCTCTGGATGACGTAAACAATAATCTTTAATGTCCCTGAAGCAGCAGTAGCACACATGATCTTATTGTTTTCATTTTCACAAATGATCCTGCACTAATGAAGTAATAACCCTTCGGTCTATTTTATTAGTTTTTTTATGTGGATGGGGTGTCCAATTTGATGATGCTCTCCAGGGTGTACACACTGTCTATCTGAAATGCAGAGCAGTGAACTCCCTGCAGTGCTTACGGAAATCACAGTGGACTCCGTGTTCAGTCTGCAACTGCAACCATAAGGGAGTTTGGTTAATAATTTCCCTTTTGTTTTATTATGTAGACAAAAATGTATCCTGAAGTTACACTGGCCTCCATTTGGCATTCAATTCTAAAATAAACATGTTGTAATTAAAACCTTTTTGAATTTTACAAAGTTGTATGGTATCTGCATTAGATATA